ATAATTCTACTATAATAATGGAGAACAAATAAATCAAACTGGTAAATAAAGACAGACAATCCAGCTCCCCTGGGCAAAAGTTCTCAATTCCCTTCGTGTTACAGGTAACACAATTCTACCTACAATCTCCACAGCTCCTCCCACCTTCCCAGCGGTGCTCCCTCTCTCTTTTCTATCCTTTCCTGCTTCTACATTTTGTGGACTTAAAACCATCACCCACCTGTTTCATATAAACTTAAAAATGTCTCATAAATAGAGATTCTTCCAAAAGCAAATTAAATAGAAAGAAGAAAAGAGGACAGAGAACATTAAATTTCCCGTAGGCTCCCCGCCTAATTCTTCTTGGGCTCAGAGTCCAATTTCCATAGAACTTATTCTGACTTCTTTGAAGCTATGAATACAAGGGCAGGTCCTCAAGTCCTGATGGCTCCGTCTTACCTAGATTACCACGTTCTGAAGACCATTCTCTAGTTTCTCATTTGTTGTTCTAATTATGGTAGATTTTGTGTACACTAGGTCTGAAATGGCTTGGTCAGGTTACTCTTAACAGCCTAGGTGAAAAATGCATTATGAATAAGATGACATACGGTCTCTTACTGTTTTCAATATCTGCTTGAAGAGAAGTCTATAGAGAACAGTTATTTGTTCCAATACAGAGTATTGTCACGATGGCATTAATTGTCATTTGGTCATGAATGCAATCTCTGTCATCCATGGCTCAAGGGTGATCAGCCAGCAAGGAGTCATTTCTACTTCTGAACAAACTCATGTTAACCTGAGCAATGTCAACTGGGACAAACAACAAAATAGGAGAAAGCACTCTAAAAGCTGAACAATTGTTTACTCAAGAGAAGAATCCATGGTGTTTCCTTCTAGTGAGAACATATGCAAAATGTCACGTCTCTTAAGATAATACATATTCCTAAATTAAGTATGTTCACAGCTTACATGGACTCACTTCCCAAAACACTAATTTTTAATAGATTTTCAGTAAGGCCTACTCAACGTACTAATTTTTTAAAGAGTTTCTAATTACATTTAAAAGCTACTACTTATTAAGAGCTAACTACATCAAGACACTATATCAGAAACTCAGCATGCTTCATTTTCAAAGCACCCTCTAACATGGAAGAAGGCCCTTTACTTATAGATAAACTATTCTAGGAGATCGATTTATTTGTCCAAGTCCCAAAATTTAATAAGTGGTTGAACCAAGGTTCAATCCCCATGAAGGTCCCATTCTTCACCCGCAGGTAAGCCCCAGGTCCCAAACTGCTTGTGCCTTGAGGTCTTTATATCATGATCATCTCAACCCAGAAGGGATTCATAGAAGGAAGATGGTAGAAAATTGCAGCAGAATTGGAATCTCTTGGGAGATTTCTTATCTCGAGAAACATATCAGACAAATAAAAACACCTCAAACGAATCCCAGTGGAGGGGTCCTCTGAGTAGCATTCCTGACTGGGACCCCTCAAAACTATCCAGGTAATCAAAATGAAGGGAAGTCTGAGAAAACATGACAGCCAAGAGGAGTCTCAATGGAACAATGTACCCTGCAGGAGAAAAGGGGCCTGAGGTAAAAGTTTA